CTCCCCGTTCGTCCCGACGATGGCAGCCTGCTGGAGGCCGCTCGTGTAGCCGAGTCGCGCTCACAGTGTGAAGAGCCTCATTTCACTAAGACAAAGGAACAAATTTCAATAAGTTGGAATTCGGCCTTTTGCCTTGCCTTGTCAGTCGGGCCATACCTTTGGAATATCTCAAATGGAATATATGACTTGCTTCTGACTGCATCTTAGGGAACTATTAATGATTTTACATTGTGCTTTGGATAGCATATACTGAGCTGGCTGTCTCTCTTATTACACTGAGAATAATTCCCTGGTGCTCCAGGTGCTTCCTTGCAGTTTTTAAGTTCCACCTCTTGTGTTGGGTTTGTTTAGGGGGTTTTGTTGTTGCTGCCTAGAAACTTGCCCGAGGCTTTTGCTAGGAAGCTCATTTTGCCTTCTGAGAGTTGGCACCACTATGAAGTTTGGCATGGCTGTGTATGGTCTCTGGGCTTCAGTTGGAGTTCATCAGATAGCCTCAGCTTAAGGSTCTTTTGTGAAGGTCGAAAATACAGAAAGCCTTGGTGGATAACATCAGCAACAGCAAATCTGTCTGAGCCATTCTACAGCAAATGTTTCTTTGTGTTCTAGGAAAGGTACTGTTATGAACAAAGTATCTCATCTGTAGGGTTTCTGTCATCATACAGCCCTGAGAAAACAACATGTTGTGAGCATGTGGTTATGCTTCTTGCTGAATAGTAAAAAGATTAAGAGAAAATACTGAAAAGGGATCACTGAACAACTGAGAAACCATCTGCAAGCTGGGTTTGATGGAAATGGTTCATAATCTTAATGTGCAAGTGCAACAGTTCAATAAAATGACAAGCTGTAGGAGAAACTAGCATAAATAAAATTTCCACGGGGATGTCTCAACTTGGATTTTACATTGTTACAAATAATCTTTACTTGACATATGCAAAATTATTTTCCCATTTGCCACAAAATAAATTAATCCTTTTAACTTAATGGTTTTTGACTTATTTAAGAATGTTAGCTTTGTATAAGTTGCATTTCAATGGGTGCTGTGGTGCTAGAGACAAGCATCTATTTTTCTGCTACATGTGTTGCTGTTGTTTGCTGTATTTTTAAATTTTATATTAAATGATTGCTTTGCAGTTACAAAAAGAGGTTTCCAATGAAGCAYCAAAGGGGCCAGGATTCAGGAATGCCTTTTCATTACCTACACCTGGGTCAGAATCTGGTCTGGCCCTGTAATTAGCAAGTCACAATTAAAAACTGAATGCAATAATTGGAAATCTTAATTACATTTATCTTGGAAGAAACACACTCCTAATAATGATAATTTAAAATATATTGCAAGAGTTTTTTTCTTGTTTCTGGTCTTTGATTACCTTGTAATTTTTTTAAACCCTTAAAGTTGAAGGTGCAGTAACTCAAAATAGGATAAAATGATTCTGCACTATTTTCTTCTTATTGTGATGCTACTATCACATTATAATAAAAAAATTGTTTAGATAATGGAAAATGCATTTAAAATGTAACGGTGTATTTCCCTTACTCTGTAAGATTACTCTTAAGAATATGGATGAATATGGCAGTTTCATGGGATGGCTTGATAAAATGTTGTGCAAAACAGCATTATTACCTTGCTGCCCTCTGGTCCGCATGTGGTGTAGAAGCAGTTTAACCATAAGGTTTCTCCTCCTTGAGCTGAAGAAAGTGCCTTTGAGATCTGTGAATTCCACAAACTGCATTAATATTTGACTCTGAAACTGGTCTTTTCTCATAGAGTGGTAATAGTATATTAGAGGCTTAATAAAGTAAAAGCATATCTGTGCCTCAGCAGTTTGAACAGCATGGTTCCAGTATGCAYGTCCCATGTATGTATGTCTGTGTGCACACACACATCAATGCCATATTCTCTTACTTGCCAGACATATCAAGCAGAATTGTAAATTTTCAAAAAGTCATGACAGAGCTTTCTTTAATAATAAGAAAAAACGCAAACTTTTGTGCCTGATGGAAGTTGCTGGCATCTTTCCAAACAGGTTCTCTAATGATCTTGTTTCACCATGACAACCAATACGGAGGTGCTGGCTCAGCAGGTAGTGGAGACTCAGCAGGTGGCTGAGGTGAGTGACGGATGATATCGCAACAGTTGGTATATGAGATTTTGAAATTAAAAACATATTAGGGAGTCCCTGCTGTTTAAGTTAATCATATATGGAACGGAAAATTTTTGTAGCARAGTGTTGCTTTACACTTGGGGACAAACGTGAAACCAGTGCAACTGGGATGTGTTGTGTTCACCCTACTTGTTCTGGTGGGTCCCCATATTAGGGATGCTAGTAGGAAGATCAACGTGAGCTATAGAGAAACTTGACTGTATTATGAATTGCTAAAAAACTTAATACAATTAAATTTCTTGTAATTTGATTGTTAGATTGACCATTTTGAACATGGAAAGCTTCTGCTCATTTGAATTGTAATCTCGATCCACCACAGTGAAGTTATCTGTTTTACTTATGCACTGGATTGAATTTACAGTATTTACAGTAGGGCGGTTAATTCAAATCAGGTTTTATATTTTCTGCCTACACTTAAAAAACCCACAGAACCTACTTAAAGTGATATTAAGTGATCTTGATGTATGTTCACTGAAACTTGGATGCTCAACAGCTGAAAAGTTTAAATTAGCGCGTAAACACAAACTGCAAGTGTTCACAATCATAGAAAATAATTTATGTATATTCCTCACTATGCAAACTTCAAGTCAAATAATAAACTAGATTTTCTGTGGGATTCAAATTATTTGGTTTAATATCTTTAAAATTTACTGTGATTTATCATATGGTTCCATAATGCAGTGACGTAACAAATAATAAAGGGCAAGTGGGCTGGGAGACCTCTGTAGATAAGGCCACTTTTCAGACATTAGTTTGGTATTTTCTTTCACTTGTTGAGCTAAGATTACACCTGTATGATAAAAAAATACTTTTATTTCAAGAAGAAAATGTGACTTCAATTT